ATCTGAATCTGCAAATATCTGAGCAGAAGTAGAAACAATATTATTAAAACATAAATAGAAAGAAATAAAAGTATGTGGTCTAAATAATTTTTTATGTTATAGTGATATACAGTGTGAGCGGGTTCAACATTCAAAAAACTCCCGTGAAGCATTTCACAAATGACGATCCACTCTTTGGTCAGACTGTTATTCAATCAACAGATGGGTTGGTCATTTATACGAGTTTTAGATAATTCTAGATATATTTTTTAAATTAAATTACATAACATTTATTTTATAACGTTTTTTAAGATCATGATAAAGAACATTTATTGATCTATTTTAGTCAAATTATCTTAATTTGTTCTATTCTAGAGTTTTTGTTCCTTCACCAAAACATGGAAAACTTTTTAGATGCACTCTAGAGCATGAATGCGTCGAAATAAATTCTGATGGTAAGTTTGTCTTTGTCTTTTCATAATGAAGATTTCCCTGGAAACTTTACTTTTGCTCATTTCATAATAATGTCCTCACTGATTTACACAATTACTTTTTCACTCTAAAAGTCTTATTACATCAATATCTCTTTTGAAGATAAAAAGCCTAAAGGCCTGAGACCAGTAGCATCAGTATCTAGTCTGACATCAGAAGAGGAACAACATGTTATGGTATGTATAAATATCCTCAAATACAGGAATGTTAGATATGGCCGACAATTGTTTTGTACTTAACCTGATTTCACTTACAAAAAGTTAAGCTATTGAAAGCTATACCAAACAAGAAGTAAACTGTTTATAATCAGATAGAGTTTGCACAATGCTTTGAGTCTGTTGCATAGCATTTTCACAGTAAAACCACAGAATGTGGTTTCCCCTTCACATATGTGACAGACAGAAATGTATCAGTTCTCCTTCAGAGAACAGGAAATAGTCTTTAAATGTCAGGAAATGTCATACTAGAAATGTGAAAAGGACTAGAAATATCAGGATACCACAGTTATTTCTGGGGGGTTGTATTTGCTTTATTTATTGGGATATTGGATAATTGTTCAGGATCATGTGACTATCAGGAGGAAGTCATCAGCATTGTGAGTCAACTGTTATGTCCCTCAAAACCATAGTGACAGCACTTCCCCAGTGAGAAAAAAAA